CACGGGTGGACGGGCACCGGCAAAAATTTTGTCAGCAAGATCATCGCCGAGAACATTTACGAAGGTGGTCTGAACAGTGACTATGTCCACCTGTTTGTGGCCACACTGCACTTTCCCCACGCCTCCAACGTCACCCTGTATAAGGCAAGGGCAGAATTTCGGAATTCTTCCTGGATGGTGCTGGGTTGCAGGATGGGATTTGGGAATTGCATGTTGAAATGAGGGAGCCCTGAAAATGGTTACATGTGTCAGTTCCTCTAGAGAGGTGTGGAAATTACAGAGGGTTTGACTTGCGTGGAGTAGTTACTCTATCAATGTATCCAAAAACAGGCCCAGTGTGATACTCAGTAAGTGGGGTCATAGGATTTTAGAGGTGAATCAAATCCAACATAAAGATCAGCAAATCCAACTCATTTTGTCAATGAAAAGTCTGTAGAGAGGCCTAAGTTTGTTTAACTGCAGTGTTGCAAACTATTACCATTTAACTCACTGAACAGCCTGGGATTTGAGCCCTAACTCTCCCACCTACCAGCTGTGTAATCTTGGGATAGTGGCCTGACATCTCTGAGACTCAGGTTCTTAATCTGTAAAATGAGATTGTGAGAATTCAGTGAGCTCTGTCTGCCAAGTATATGTCACAGTACCTGGCACATGAGTTGCCTTTTTTTAATCCATCTCACAAACCAGAAATTTAGCCATCACTCGTGTGAACACATTTTCCCCTTCTGCTCGGGGGAACATGAGGGTCACTAATTGTCCAATGTTCGCGGGATGTGGGATTTTCAGTGCTAAAACTGAGAAAGTTCCAGACAAATTGTGATGAGTTGCTCCTCCTAGTTAGCATTCAGGCTCTACTCCTTACTAGCTGTGTGACTTTGGGCAAGTTACTTAACCTCTCTGTGCCTCAATTGCCTCTGTAAAATAGGGAATGCGGTCGTATTCTGTTGCACACAACTGTGATGGGTTTTGGGTGACCACAGTAAAGCGTTATGTGAACAGTGCTTAGAACAGTAGCTAATCCTTAGTGAGTGCTCAATGCACGTTCTCTGTTACTGCCTGAGAATTGGAGCAGAGCGGGAAAACCTTGGCGGCTGGAGCCTAGTGGACCAGAGTGAATCCTATTTAAACAGTGACTCACTTTGGAGCCTCACGTAACTCGCTTCAGCTCTCCTGAGGTTCATTCTCTCTAAATCGAGGCTAGTCCTTGTCTGTAGAGCAGACTCGCTGCCCAAGCTACTACGTTCCTACACATAGACTGTTGTAACCGTGGTCATGGTAACCAAGCAAAAACCAAAATCGAAGTCAAGACCTAACATTGTAACTTCAGTCTTCCTCAGAAAAGAGCTGATTTCTCAGGGAGGAAAAAAACTGGGAAAGCAGTATATAGAGCCATAGCTCAAATTTCTGATTAAAAGGGTCTTTTCTCCTTATGTCAATTGCTTAATCTTCTAAGAAGTACCTAAGTACGTTCTTATGGAACGTTTCTATTTAAGCAAGTGTATTCCAGAAATCTGCAAGCATTGTTCCAGAAACTCAAAGAGTGTTAGCTCACTGCACTCAGGCCAAAGCGCACCCTCTCAAGTTCAGTTGCCTCGTCAAGGAGCCTGCATGTCTCACCTTCCGCATCAGAAAGTTAGAGCACCTTTTCCAGGCCGTTTTACAGAATAAGTCACTTGATCTCTGCCTTCTTCCTAGAAGGCTGGTATACACAGGATGTGTGTTATTATTATTGCCATTTTAATGACAAAGGACCAGCAACTCAATGCCACAGCATCAGTGTGACATCTCACAGCACTGGAATTATAATCAAAAGTGTGGGGCTTCAGAATTAGGCAGAGTGGGGTTCAGATCCCAGCTCTGCCACCTAGTAATTTTGTAACCTTGGGCAAATCGATTAAGCTTTCTGTGCCTCCGTTTGCTCATCTCTAAAATGGGTATGCTAACACCCACGTGATGGGGTCGTGGCGAGGAACAGAAGAGCTTATGCGTGTGTGAAATTCATTGCCCAGCACACAGTCAGGCTCCGTAAATGCAGCCACTGTGGAAGCAGTCATAGCATCACTAGTGCTCATTGATTCGTTGATTCGTTGTCCTTGCTGAGAACTTTGTGTTGGCTTCTCCCCCTCACAATTCAGGATCAGTTACAGTTGTGGATTCGCGGCAATGTGAGTGCCTGTGCGAGGTCCATCTTCATATTTGACGAGATGGATAAGATGCACGCCGGCCTCATTGATGCCATCAAGCCTTTCCTAGATTATTATGACAACCTGGACGGGGTATCCTATCAGAAAGCCATCTTCATATTTCTCAGGTAAGTTCCAGGCTGGGATGTGACTGAAGAGCTTTGAGCCCGAGCCTGTGGGCTTCAGGAAAGAACCCAGTCCTCATTCACCGGACTTATTTTACAGCAATGCTGGAGCGGAAAGGATCACAGACGTGGCTTTAGAGTTCTGGAGAAGTGGGAAGCAGAGGGAAGAGATCCAGCTCAGAGATATGGAGCACGCCTTGTCTGTGTCGGCCTTCAATAACAAGAACAGTAAGTTCAGGATCCCACGTCCCTAAGTTTTAAATCACCGGCATTCCCAGCCCTGGAGCTGGTTAGAGACAGATGCTCTGCTTTCCCCAGACCTACTGAGTCAGGTGTCTGAGCAGAGCCTGCGTCAGGGGCTCCAGGCAACCTTAAGTGTGAGAAGCCTGCTTTAAAGAAAAAGGGAAATGGTTGCTCTTGGAGGTCTTGAAAATTAGTTCCCTGTTTTCACCTAAACCGTTTCCTTTGTAGAAAAAAAAGCAGTTGAGCAAAGAAGGCTGTGGCGGGTGACTCCGAAGCGGGGAGGTGGCTCATCGGGTCCTTCCTTTCTGTGTGTTGCCCAGACTCCGAGCTTCTGTGCCCGACACTAACACCAAACAGTGGTTGGGCCCTCGTTCTGTGCTGGGCACTGTGTGAAACCCTCTACCTGCATCTGTCCTTCACAGTGACCTCATGGGGTAGAAATTTATCATCCTTATTTTACAGATGAGGAAACTGAGGCTCAGAGAGCGGTAGCAGCTTGCCCAAGGCCACATG